AGCTAAGCTTGACTGTGAGTGTTCGAAGAAACTTGATCTTTCCGTTTTTTCCTTTGGCGACCATGTGTACTTGGGTTGACTGCGTTATGCGTATAAAATATTCTGTGTTCGTGCTTTTTGGGGCAATTCTTCGTTGACAAGTTGTGGTTAAATTAAACCTTTGACCCTTTGCATAATTTGCATGCCATAAATCACACGTTTTATTTTCTTTTTAGTGGATAGTCCTGGGGGCCAATCTCTGGAAGTTCCCCTGCAGTCTCTCAGCTCCAGTTTTTCACATTGGACTGACAGGTCTGTATTTCGTTCCTCCGCTGATCTTTGCAAGTGGCTTTTATGCTAGCTGTCAAGCTGCAAGCTGATTATCCCCCTGTCTTTCCTCTTTTTAGGCATCTTCGCTCTCTACCTCTGGTACTGGGTCGAGCTAAACATGTTCACAACGCTACGCTACCTGTTCCTGATTGGCACTGTTACCTTCTTCGCGGGCAACCGTCTACTGAGACACTTGAGCAGTGTTCGCAAGGGTGATGCAGCCTCAGGCTCAAAGTCTGGCAATTAAACCCCTCTACTACTGCCGCCGCCGCGCCTCCTTCCCCCCCCATCTCTCTGCATGTGTTATACCATCCTATACCAAACCCTTTTTAATCTTAGCGGGGACGTCTTTCTTTTTGCATTCCATACCCGTGTAGTAGCACATTTCCTGCCTGTGTATGTTTACCGGTTGTTTTTATTAAAAGTGGTTTCGCATTATTCTCGAGTTTATGCTTCTTCCTCTGCATTTCCCACGTAAATTACTTGCTTTGGCAAGATAACTGCTTACTTGCTGACCTTAGTAGTCTTAGCCAGTCGCGGTTTCAATATAAAGGGGTTGGGCTTGAAGGTCGTCACGATGCTGAATTCCAATCGTATAGTGCCTCGAAGGCTCGCGTGTAACGTACATCCGTCTGGTCAGGCCTCTATGGGTGTGAATGTTGGGTTGTGCGCGTAGATGATGAGCGAAGATTGGAGTTATTTTACCATCGCTGCCTTAGGACCACCCTTCGACTGAAGTATGCCGACAGTATCGCGAGGATATCTCAGGCCATCCAAGAAAGACGACTGAGGTGGTTTTGGCACGTTCTCCATCGTCCACTCCACGAGCTTTGCTACGCTGCCCTCGACCCGGCACCGCAGTCCATTCAGAGGCGTCGAAGAGGTGGGCAACTCAAGACTTGGCTCGAAACCGTCCGTCAAGACGTGGAAGCGGTTCTTGGGCCTTGTGTTTTCGATCTCCGTCGCTGGAGAAGAGAAT